TCTACCCCTAACTAAAGCTCGTGAAGAACAGATGAGAGTAAACCAGGCTGGTTTTCAACCTGGACGTGGTTGTATAGATCAGATATTCGCACTACGTCAGGTCTTAGAACATAGACACACATTCAGACGCCTCAAAATTGTAGTATTTTTCGACCTTAAGGGAGCATTCGACTCTGTTGGTCGTGAGGTTCTCTGGAGGTGTTTGTCACTGAAGGAAGTACCAAAGAAGTACATTAGCCTTATGAAGGCTGTCTAATCGAACACATCTGGTCGAGTGAGAGCTTATGACGAACTGTCATCAGAAGTGATTACCTCAAGTGGTGTTCGTCAAGGCTGTCCGCTCTCATCATTTTTGTTTAACTATGTAGTTGACGTGCTTTTAGAAATGACACTTTCCTCATCTCAATTTGCAGAGGTTGAACTTCTGCCGCGAGATTCACTTTTTGACCTAGAATATGATGAAGACGCTGACAAAATGCAGTCCTCTGACCACGCTGAGCAGCAATGCAAGCATGTTTGGCATGCGATTCTCTCCCTTGAGATGTAAAATGTTGCTTCAGGATTGGGTTGCATCGACACCTGAACTAGTGGTAGGGAGTAAAGTAGTTGAGTGTGTCGAACGGGTTTACTGCACAGCAGTTCGTCCCGTACTACTTTATGGCAGTGAAGCATGGCCGGTAAGAGTAGAGGATATTTATAGGTTACTAGTATTTGATTATAGATGTCTTCGAAACATTGCTCGTATATTCTGGGACCACCGAGTAAGCAATAGAGTTGTTAGAAAACGGGTACTAGGTAAGGATGGAAAACCAATTGATGAAGTAGTGAAACTTCATCAGTTAAGATGGTTGAGACACGTGTTTCGCATGCCAGACCACTAACTGCCCCGACGCGCGATGTTTCATGGTGTAGGAGTAGGATGAAAGAGAGCTTAGGACGGTCAGACCAAAACGTTGCACAAATCCATGAAGTCACTGACAGGTGAACTGAGCCATGTTGGTAGGTGTAGACTATCAGGTTGGGATCCGCGAGATGATAGCAACCGATGGTTTTAGACCCTGAATGACATGGCTCAAAAACGTTTGCAATGACGCGGGTGCATTCACTCTTTGTGTTCTCCCAAATTCCAATCTTCTCAATTCCACATGTCCCTTTTTTCCTCTTTCCAAATTTATTTCACTGTATTTTACTCCTTGAATAACATCTTCGAACCCTAGTCTTTCCGATTTCTGCTTATACTCTTACCACTTCTACCACTATGGGATTTGAATTGACAATTGTATTTGTGTGCTAATGTGGTATGGTAACTTAAACTGATGTACGTACGTATGAAGTTCCACGTCTTTACTGACTGACTGAAGATGTAAGAGACGTGTGGTGTGCAACAATGACAGATTTTGTGTATTCGTAAATGGATCTAAGGTATGAGAAGACACTTCATCAACTATTTATCGTATGTGATCGGTGAATTTGTCAAGGAGACATACAATTTCCATATGTGATATGAATCAAATATGTCTCTCAGCATGAATAAAATGAAGATAATAAAAACGAACGAATAAAACTTGTATTAATTCTCTTATTCCAGCTAATTGTTCAGCATATTCAAATAATTTAATAGTTAAATTCATAAGTCAATTCAAGGAAGACCACCATGAAAACCTGAAAGCACTGGACGACCGTTTCTTTTTCGTATGAGACTTCTCCGAAGTGCACATCCATGATCCCATCTCGTGAGATATTCAGATAAGATAACCGATTAAAACAAATGAATGTATTTTGTTGTTATTTAAATAATAAGTGATAGATTAAATGGAATAAAGAGTTGAGGTTTATTTAATGATTATTATATCAGTTGTCATGGGACATCTAATTGTATTCCATCTCTCCCATTAATCATAAAACGAATACTAGTTTCTTAGAAATATCGATTTGAGACTAGTTATCATACAGTATAAACAGTCCATTGAATGTAGTTATCGTTTGTGTAAGGATAGAGATTAGACTAAGCTCTATTTTCTTGATTACTTTACATGTTTCTTTTACTGTCAATGATTCGATGAATATCCTGGATGATGTAATCTAAATTTATGTACTATATTCATAACAAATACACTGAATATTGCACATGTTAAACTTGAGATATTCTTTTCAAATTTCTTCAAGCTAAGCTATACACCACGTATTCATTGAACACATGCATTTTGACGATAAAAACTCCAAGACCAAACCATCCAGTTCAGAGAACTAAACTCCATCAAAATCATCCACCTGACCTACAAAACTCTACCATGCTCTCCTTTAGAGTTTGTTGGGGCCCTTTTGTTTTGTCGTCATTTAGATCGGATGATGTTTGTTGACGGGCTCTCCACTTTAGTGGCCCGAGATCTAAATCCAATTAGATTGCATGAATGATCGTTGTCGAAATACATATGTCCCATATCCTCGTATATAATCATCGTCTTAAATCGCGTTAGTTAATAACCAAATTAAATAAAGTCAAATAACGAGAATGAACTTTTGAATACAGATATTTTGTACATGAAGCGAATGGAATCGAGAGAAGTGAAACGACGCGCAGTGGAGATGGCGGTTAAGCCAACTGCTCTTTTACCAGACGTTAATCAATATTTATAGGCACACAAAAATAAGTTACAGACATGTGATGAGTAATCGGATAAGAAGTGTGCACACACCTATGCGCTCATATAAAAACAGTCAACATTGATAAGCGAATAATTAACAAGGTTACAATGTGACTAAAGTAGAATGAATAGATTGAGCTGTTCGAAAGTTAGAATAAGGTATACTGGATCAACATAGTAACTGACACTACAAGAGGCTTTCCTTATACACTACGGTTAACTAGATTATCTTTTATTTGATCCAAGTATAAATATTGGTTCAACAACATAATCCATGAATAGTCAACTGGTTATTCTTAATTGTAAAAGCCTTTTACTGGTTATTTTGATGGAGTATTGTTCTCCCAGGTTGATGGTTTAATCGTGGAGCTTTCATCATTTTTCTTCTGAACGACATCATCGGCATAACCTTCAGGTGGAAGTGAAGTGTTCGGATTTCTGCACATATGGTTCACAGTTTATCCTGTACACCATGATGTTGATTGGTTCTCGTTGACCTTAACCCTTTCATTGTTTACTTCTCTATTTTTGGTTGTATCCCCTATTGGTTTGATTTTTGTTTCTATGCATATGCAAAGCTGAGAGAACAAAACTACATTGAAATAATCTACCTGAGTTACAAATCTTCTCCACTGGTTATTTTACCTTATTGATATTGATTGAATAAACAGCCATTAATGAAATATTTTAACACTTTATACATTCATAAATCGATCATAAAGCGGAACTCTAAATTTAGAAAGACAATTGGAACTATTCCAGTAAGAACTACATTAATCCACTATGAACAACATTAAATCTGATTCACTAAACATTTGCTTCATTGTCACTTTCGAGATTGATATGAATCAACCAGTCAGTTAGCTATGATGTAGAACCATGCATATATATATATATATATATATATATGCATCAGTCCAAGTTATCATACCTCATGCCCCCAAATGCCCTGGTACGGCCGAGAGTGGGGAGAGTCCGCTCTCCCTCTCGAAATGCTCTCACATGACCACGCGTATATAGCCTCTGCCAGGGAAGTCCTACTCACTGCCTTCTCGTGGCGGGGGTGTTGTTTACAAAAATGAGAGGACGAAAAGCGAATGTCCGGCGCTTTAACCGGATCCCAAACCAATGGTGCACATGGGCTAGCTCCAGTATCCTGCGGGAACAAATGGCGTATGAACCAATCGTTGGTCACCGACTACCATGGGACTGCATCTCCTCACGATGCTCCACTGCCTTGTGGGTCAGACGTTCAGGTCGAAGGCTCGGGGTGTGGCCCCCTAAGAAAACCACCTGCTTCGGTTTGGGCACCCGGGCAGAATCACAGCCCTCACACAAATCAATTGAGATTTGTGTGGCGCATATGTATTTGGTGCCTCCCTATACCTATACTTATGTGTTAAAATAAATAAATAAATAATCATACCTCATTAGTACAACAAGATGAACACTGAATTCATAGGAGTAGCTAATTCAGTTGTGGTAATATATAAAAGAAAGGCTGCATATCAGGACATAGTACAGGAATGAAGAATTAGTTTGCGGAAAGTTTAAGGGACGATAGAGAGTATACACCGACGCCATTGTGATTGATTCTGAGTCATGCCACACACAGTCTCTAACCATTAGTTACGATAGTCATGTAGACCCGAACCAAGTTGCCTACATCTACCAACATGGCTCGGACTAAAAGTTAGTGACTTCAAGCACCGATGCCACGTTTTGGTTTGGCCGCCTCTAACTTTCTTACAATCATCTACAACGATAATCAACATTGTGTGCCGAGGTAATCGGTGTTACCATTGAAGGTGTTACATTGTAGGTATCATTATCATGTTTTGACTTCATAACTTCAAATAAATTGTGCATTAGTTAGATTTTTATAAATAAACCGATGCTGATTTGCAGATATCCCAACTTAGTGTAAGCCACTTCAGAGAATAATAAATAACCAAATCTTAGAAGTATGTATAGAATAGATGTGAATGTGATTTGATATTGGAACTCATTGAGATAGCTAATGAATTTTCCTTTCATCCTTATGCTTACTTCAGTTAAGTTAACATAGTTAATCATATAAATCCAATGTAATTTATTTTGATCGAGATCATGAACCGATTGATGTCAAAACACCATTGAAAACCTGCAAGCACTGGACGGCTGTCTCGTCCTATTGTGGGACTCATCTATGATTCTGCTCGCGCGCGAACGCTTAACACGTAGATCATTGAGTCGGCATCAAATGGTGTTAATGTCTAACCTCGATCAATCTACGAGATTGTTCGACCATCATCTATTATCTACCCGACACGGATTAACTCCACTGATCACGGCATCTCACTAGAACTCCGAGATTTTCCTCACGAAACTAGTCACTAGTGAACAGATGGAAGATGGTCGCCTAATTTCGTGGATTGGTTCAAGCTAGACATTAACACTTTCGGATGCCGGCACACTGATCTAAAAGTTAAGCATTCACGAGCAAGACTGAAGGCCCTTGGTTCGAATCCCATGAAGAGGATCGTGGATGCACACTGCTAAGGAGTCTCGAACTTAAACGAAATGGCCATCCATTACTTCCAAGTTTTCAATGGCGATCTAACATCAATCGATTCGTGATCTCAATTCAAAACATAATAATAATCTCCATATTCCTATACTGACCATTGTAACTTGTTGTTTCACATCCATTTAACTACTTCAATTTAAACAAAAGAAACATAATGTATGTTTATTTTTATTTAAGATAAAAGAATAATGAATAGATTATAATATTGGGAAACTGGCATTTGTTGCAATACCACACATATTATGTTTATTCCTTCGTAATTTGATATATCCATTCATTCCCCATTCAGTGCCCCAACTATTTTTAATAAGCCAATAATCTTTTTTATGTTCCGTACCATAGCCAACAACTAATACAGCATGATTGAGTATAGATGATGAACAATATCTTGATTCATATATTCCACTTCTATAATGTAAAACATTATAAAGTATCGTTGAATACATTCATGAATTAGATCTATTTGTTATATACTCTATTCATTTCTTGAATAGAATTGATTTCCTAGATTTCATCACTTATTTCCATAATACTTACTTGATATACATGCATATTCAATGTATGTCATGTTAGAAAGGGTAGCAGTTATCTTTGAATTTCATCAGTTAAGTTGTCTTTTATTTACCACAACAACAAAAATATCCAGTGTCTAGAGTTTTCATCAAGGCATAAATTGGTAAAGTAAAGGCCAGCATTCCTACAATTGAAGAATATATGGAACTCGAAAAAACTATTTATCAACTAATATCAAAGTCACAATCTTCAATACGAACGTCAAGACAGTCAGTCCTACTGTACGGAGATGAAACATGGAGAATTGCTTCAACCATCATCAAGAAGGTTCAAGTATTTATAAGTACTTATCTACACAAGATACTCAACACCCATTGACCAGATACTATCAGCAACAGCCTTCTGTGGGAGAGAACAAACCAGCTTCCAGCGGAAGAGGAGATTAGGAAAAGACGATGGAAATTTATAGAACATACAAACTGCATCACGAAGCAAGCCCTAACATGGAATCCTGAATGAAAACGGTAAAGAGGCAAACCAAAGAACACATTACGTCGGGAAATAGAAGCAGATATGAAAAGGATGAATAACAACTAGGAAGAGCTGGAAAAGATTATCCATGACAGAGTTGGATGAAAAGTGCTAGTGGGCGACCTATGTTTCACCACGAGAAGTAACAGGCATACGTTAAGTAGACTTATCATCAAGTAGAAAATTTCGCGAAATATTTCCAGTAAAGCGTGACACAACATCAATCAGTTAATGTGCTAACGATTCATAGTAGATAGACAATAACAAAAAAGTAAAACTAATTTCTATTGTCCCTACACATACTTTTCTTTACTATTTTAAAGAGAATCGCTATATTCTAGTGAAGATTACATTATGGGTAACTTCTGAGACCATTTAATGAACTAACATTATGCATATATTGGTATGGTATAACTAGATTAGGCATTTCTATATTCCTCTTATTATAAGCTACATGTTGACCTGTAAACTATTACGATACGATTTACTATTCTTACGTTATACTCAGTTTATTGATTACAGTCTTCCATAATCACTCCCACAGTCAAGTTTTGGTTTGATCTTGTATAGATATTTTTTCCTATTTGATAGTGTAATGTGGTCTATTTGACTGATATTTAAACCGTAAATATCATCATTTCATTGTATTTGTGTGTGGGCTGTGATACTGGCCGAGTGGCTAGACCGAAGCAGGTGTTTTTATTAGGAGGCAACACCGTAAAGATCTGAATTACAAAGAAGTGGATCATCGTGAGGAGATACAGTCCCATCATACACCATTTGTTCCCTCAGGATCTTGAAGCCCATGTGCATCATTGATTTTAAATCCGGTTAAAGCGCCGGATATTCGCTTATTGTCCTTTCATTTTCACAAACAACACCCTCGTCACCAGAAGGCAGTGAGTAGAATGTGTGAGAGCATTTCGAGAGCGAGGGCAGGCCTTCCCCACTCTCGGAGATACCAGGGCATTTGGAGGCGGTATATAAACCAAGTATAGAAGAAGCTTTTATTGATATTTTGGACTCAACTAGACAGTTTAGGAGAACAAAAAGGTATCAATAGGGATACTAAATTGCTCATACCGATCGAACATCATTGGAAGCACGGGATACAGTGAACATCTAAGATGCAGCTGGACGATCTAGACTTCTCAGATGACCTGGCTCTTCTTTCGCAAACGCAACAACAAATGCATGAGAAGACGACCAGTGTAGCAACAGCTACAGCGGCAGCAGCAGCAGTAGGTCTCAGTATACACAAGTGGAAAAGCAGGATTCTCCACTACAACACAGCTCGTACCAATCCAGTCGCACTTGACAGAGAAGATTTGGAAGATATAAACACATTTAAATATTTGTGTAGCATGATTTATGAACACAGTGAATCTGATGCAGGTGTGAAGGCACGGATCAGCAAAGCAAGAGCAGCATATTTATAACTGAAGAACATCTACAACTGAAAACAACTCTCTGTCAACCAACACACAAGTCAGAATTTTCAATACAAATGTCAACACAGTCAGTTCTACTGTATGGGGCGGAAACCTGGAGAACTACCACAACCATCATCCAGAAGATATAGGTGTTTATTAACAGTTTTCTACGCAAAATACTTCGGATCTGTTGGCGGACACTATTAGCAACAACGTAATGTGGATAAGAACAAACGAGATTCTATTGGAGGAAGAAATCAGGAAGAAGCGCTGGAAGTGGATAGGCCACATATTGAGGAAATCACTGAAGTGGGTCACAGGACTTGTCTTCACTTGGAATCCTCAAGGCCATATGAGGAGAAGAGGAAGACCAAAGAACACATTACTTTGAGAAATGAAGACAGACATGCAGAGAATATACAGCAATTGGGTGGGACTAGAAAGGAATGCAGAGTGGGACGGAGTGTGTCGTAGAATGCTAGTCGGTGGCCTAAACTCTATTAGGAGTAACAGGCGTAAGTAAGTAAGTAATATATTATATTCCAAATTGACCAATAAATCACATGGTAACTAACTGGACATCAATAAACATTTCGTATACTTCATAATATATTCTATATCATAAATAATAACTTACTTATAAAATATAAAATCATGTAATGCATCTATAGCAACTGATATTGGTCCATAGTGATAAAGTGCTCTTTGTAATTTTTTTTCATCTCTTGTTGGTAAATCAATAAATTTTTTTATTTTTATAATACCTTTTGATTGATGATAATGACATGATGATTTCTATAAATATTTACACTGAAAGTACATATTCATATAGTTACTTACTACACCTTTATATTGATAATCATTTTCAGATTCAATTGAATATTTTTTTAAATAATTAAATGATTGATCCATTGTACCACCATGACATCCACGATTTCCATAGTGATATGTACAATCAATTAATTGTTGTTCTGATAAACTAATTAATTTTTTATATTTTTTCATGTATTGACCTTCAATGGATCCAGTTGTTGAAAATGCCCAACATGATCCACATATACCCTTGAAAAATATTTATATCATGATTAATTATTGATTATTAATACTAACTTGATCTTTCACTGATGTAACTAATCCATAATGACGCCAATCCCATTTTAATGGTAATGGTTCATTGGACAATACGAATTCTTCTTTCGCTTCTTCCACTTCGTTGTCTTCTTCTTTGTTATCATTCCATAAAGGGTTATTGTTATTAAACCCATTAGAAAATAAGATTGTTTTTAATTCATTCCATTCCATATCACAAAATTGATTTAAACCCATTGTATATTGTTCTAAACCTAAATCATAATGTAGATTATGTTGTTGAATTCTTGCCACATGTTTCATAAATATTCTCTTTCTATTGATTTCATCATTAATGGTTGAATAAGTCTTGTTATATTTTAATTTCCACTGTTTCCATATATCATCTAATTGGTTATCCAAATGTTGTGCAAGAATAACAACATTGACAATTATGTTGAATAGTAGAAGTATCTTCATTGTTCTTATTCAAGTATCTTAGTATAAACCTAACATAAATATAGTCTGTTTTTATAATGATATAATGTAATGACCTTTATTCAAATAATGGATTATGTAACTATGTTATATTATTGATGATATAATCATGTAATATGATCATCTTAAGTAAATTTGTACTGGTACTTTGTATCCACTTGTAGAGTAGTTTAGTGTACATTATGTACACATTGATTGAACGCAATGGGTGATATTAATAAGAGATATATTGACTATATAAAATAATACTGTCAAAATTCAAATTATATGAAATATTTAAATAACTTTACTTGTAGCACTTCTAAAGTTACTGTCAGTTCCAAGCTCGGATAAAGGAGGAGGAGGAGAAGGAGTGTGGTGTGTGCTTCTTATGTAGATACAAGTAGTATATGATGTTATTCGTGAACAGAATGTCTGGCAATCGAGAAACAAGAAGATCAAACAGTAAAGAATGAAAACTGAATGCGATTTGTATGGAAACGCAAGAACAAAGGAAGTCTGCGTCATTCTGAGACAATTAATAACAAGTTCTGTAATTTGTTGTCAAATACATTCTATTGTCCCCCGCTTGTGTTCGTGTTCACTACAGTAGTAGTAGTATTAGGAGTAGTTTTTGTTGTTGTTTTTGTTTAGGGATTTTTGTTTCCTCTTTTCTTTTCTTTCGATCATTCCAATATCCTGTGTAAGTTCTTATTCTTGCTTATTAAGTCATTTATTCATTCGTTTAATTGTTCATTGTCTTTCTAACATACATACTACACATTCAATAGAGTGAAATTTTAGTGATAATAGATATATTCAGTCTTATTATTGTTCTAAAAGAATAAAAAGTCTGTTTCTTAAAATTTGTATTTTCAATGGTAAAAGTAATTTGATAGAGTTGTAGCGTGGCGTCGAGTCGCAGTTGACTGTGATCACCACTACAAGAAGACTAAGTGCCAGTTAACCGATAAGATCCCCCGTAGGCCGAATATCAGAAGGCAGTTGATGGCTGTAGTCAAAATGTATTTGCTGGCGATCACGTGATATCGAAAGAATACCGAGATCGTGCCAGATTTTAAGTGGAGTTTCTGAGCGTAACCGAATTCATACAAGGTCAAAGTCAACAGCGAGGATAGAGTAATGGCTGTCTCTAGTACAATTGAACAAACGAGCACAGTGAAACGATCATTGGAACAATTGGTTATACTAATGATTGTTTCCATAAAACCAGTCGCGTTCTGTTGACAAAAATAGGTCACTACAGAGTTTTCTTCTCTGAGTTGGATGGTTTGATGGTGGAACCTTCATCGTTCCTCTTCTGAGTGACATTTACAGCACAAACTCCAGATAGAAGTAAAGTGTTTGAATTTGTTCACATGTGATTCACAGCTTGTCCTGCACACCACGATCTTAATTAGTTCTTGTTGAACTTAAACCTGTTATTGTTTACTTGTTTGTTTTGATTGTATCTTACATTGGTTTGATTTTTGTTCTTATGTTTGTGCACCCTTATGAGCTACATTTCTTCTCCACCATTACTTGCTCACGCTCACAAGCGTTCCTCATTCAACCCTGTCCTGGACAATCTTTTCCAGGTGTTCCCAGTTGTTATTCATTCTTTTCATTTGTAATTCTATTTCCAGAATTAACGTGTTCTATGGTCGTCCACATTTCAGCTTCCCTTCATTATTCCAAGTTAGGGCATGATTCATGATGCAGTTTGGTGATTTGCGTAATGTATGTGTTATATCCCAGTGAAGATTAAACTGATATTCCATAAATATTCTTATTGCATAATTATTCAAGAATTACATTATGTGTATTTATATTTCACCATAGATTATTACTATACGATTTATTATTCTTGAGTTACGGTCTGTCTATTAATTACTATCTCCCGCGTTCACAGCCACTTTTTGGCTTATTTGTGTACACATGTTATTTTCTATTTTATGGTACGTTGTGGTCTGCCTGATTTATATATAAACCGAGTATGTTTGAAACAAATGATTCGACTCATATTACAGAAGCTGGTATTGTGTTCTGAACTCAAGAGGACGGGTTAGAAGGACATAGGACCAATTAAGGACGCTCGACTTCTCAGACCGGTTAAACGTCATTGGTTTTGTCATAGTGTGAACATTGTATAAGTCGTATTTCGATTGATGGATAAGTCACGTGATCATAAGCCGGACATGAAATCATAACAGTGTGTCCTATCCATTTCCATCATCCTTTCCTTATTTTCTCTTCAGCTCGAAGTTTGTTTGGTCTCTCCCACAGCACGCTGTTTCTGATGATATCCGACAGTTGTTTACAAATATTTGTACCCAACTGCATCACAAGACAAGCCCTCACATGAAATCTTCAAGTTCAAATAAGGAGAAAAGAAAGACCGAAGAAGATATTACACCAGGAAACGGAGATAGATATGAGAAAAATGAACAAGAATTGGATGTAACTAGAAAAGGAGGCAGAGTGGGACAGAGTGGGTTGGAGAATGCTGGTCGGCAGCCTATACTCTATTAGGAGTAACAGGCGTCAGTAAATAAGTAAGTGAATTAAGGTCTCATAACAATATTTTGTTGACATACTAACTAGTTTCGATCCAGATAATGTGAAATATGTTCCGAATGATTTGCTGGCGAAAACGTTTTGATTTTAAGTCTGAAAATTAATCATGATCTCTTAAAAAGAAAACTCAATGTATACATAATTTTGTTATCAGAATGGGGGTCTGTGGAGTTTGTAGTAATTTAATAGTTGAATTCATGAATTGATTTGAGCTAGACCAGCTTCAAGAACCTTCTTGGTTGTGTCTCGCATTCAGCCCATTTACTGAGTCTTATTACTTTCGTAATATGTACTCGTGAAACCTCTCCAGGCATTACATTTCTGATTACAGATTACACTAAGTCTAGCCTGCGTGCTTGTCTTTATCAGGGTCTTCCGACTCCTTTGCAAATAATTAAACTAGAAACGAGTTTAACTTCTTTGAAAGTCGTGTTCACGGCTTTCGACTGTGATACCAGATCCTGTCTGGTAACTGCTGGCATCTTACCGTACCCATGTTATGGGTCCGGCCGTCGTCGAATTTTTCGTTAGCCAACTCCAGAAGGCTAATTGTCTCTTGAATAAGTAATGTTTTGCTCGAACAACAAAGGATACAGAGCCAATGAGAGTCAGACTTTGAACACCTTTTATAGGCAGTTTAACATAATTAGGTACACATCTTGTGGAACCACCTCTTACACTCATCACATTTCATTCCTTTTTCCACGGGGAATAAGCAATATGGCTGTCCACATTTGTGAGCAAAGCTGAGCATCTTAAAAATTAACTAAAAGTGGTAACACGAAAATCTCAAACCTTAACCGAATAAATCAAGTCAAAGTCGACCAAGTAGGCTTGGATGCAATAAATACACAAAAGTATAATCAAAACACACATGTACAATACCACTTTAACTGAAATAAATTCAATTCAAGTGTAAACAGTAGTATTGATGCTTAATTTACGATCAAAACAGTGGACTTAACTCAACGAAGAATAATACGACTTTCCGTTTTATATAACACACCTTGAATTTCTAAGATATTATCAGATGGGATAGTACTTACCATTTCTTCAATACCATCTACACGCAACTATATGTATATACATGTATATAAATATATCTACTATTGTTTTCTTCATTCTGATTACTCATTGGACTGTATTGTTGTTGGCTCTGTTCTTGATTGTTTCTTAGAAATGAATCAGAAAGATTTAAGCCAATTTTGATTGCCTATCTCACTTACTGTATGTACTGTTTACCGTTTCTGTACTTTAAATTTGTATCATTATTACTGTACATGTGTTAGATGTTGTCGGTTTATGTTCAACAAGTGACTGACTACATATGTCTATATAGATAGTACTTATTGCTATACTGTAATTCGATGTCCAATTTACATTGAGATTTCTTTCACTCTTCTATATTCATATTTCATTTGCTTGAAATGTTATAATGATTTGATGTTTTACCTAATTTCTTCAACTTCTTACATGGGTGTGAGAAGAGTGTTTCAGTTGTACTATATATAGGCACGGGTGAAAGAGAATAAAATGTTCCATCGTATTCGGTGTTAATCACTGGCACCTACCTCTCATCTCTTCTGTATTTTGTATCTTTGGAGTTCTTCCTTTCTATGTAATATCTAGTTGTGTTGCATTCTAATTTTTCTATTTGTCTATAATGTATAGAATGAATGTTCCATTTGGATTAATTCTGAGCTTGTTTTCATTATTTGACAAGGTATTTATTCTACGAAATTGATAGATCATACTTTGATTCAATAACCGTGTGTTGTGTTCTGAATGATTGGATCTTGTAGTTGAAAAAGAAAAAACAGAAGATGATATTTAGCTATGTGGTTGTAACTTTATTGAGGGATTCATGTAAAATAGTGAAACTGTAACACTTAATGTGGTGGTTAAAAGATTCTGCCGTTCAATCTCTTGATCACTGGTTTGAACCATGATCTCTTTCTGCGATCACGAACGGTGTTACTAGTTATTTCGCTTCCAGTGTGCATCGAAGCTGAATATGCAAATCTGTACTTGGTTTAATGTGTCACAGTTAATTAAATAAAAATGGACCATAATTGTATCGAGGCGCTTCAGTTAAAGTTCATGCTTGCATCGATTTTTAGACATTGACAAAATAGGACCTGAAACAAATGAGTATCGTTTTGACTTCCCGCACTTATTAATATCACTCATTTATGAAAAGAGTGTTTATGCAGTTGATTGATGATACTAAACTGACAAATGAAGTCGCTTGCAGTCTCACGAAACTTCCTGTAACATTAGTAGCATAATGTGACTGGCTGGAAAACGAGAAGTGGTCCGCTTATGATAAGTTTCCGTGGTATAGAATATAACCGTATTGAACTGACATATGTTATCCGGTTACTACTTTCCAATACATGTCGATTTTACGTGTTACAGTTCTCCAGCTACTACAGATAACAATATCTAAATAATGAAACTTCCAATCGA